TATTTAAAATGTACAATAAGCCCAATTAAACAAAGAAATTTAAATTACTAAGAAAAATTACAGACTGCATTTTTCTTTTGTATGCTTTTTGTTTTATTCTCATTTTTATCTTTTACTTTTTAAAGAATGAAATTTTTAAAAGAGAGAAAAATAAGGGTTGGCAAGATAGCTCAGCAGACTAAGTGCCTGCTTAGGCAAGTGCAGGGACTGGGGTTCGAACCCCGGCAGCACATGCCGTGCTGGCCCTGCCCCCAGGTGTGCTGAATCAGCTACCAAGTCTGGGTGTGGTGGCACACACCTGTAATCCCAGCACTGAGGAGCTGAAAACAGGAGGGTCACTAAGAGTTCAAGCTACATAGTGAGACCCTGTACCAAATACATAAGTTAAAACAAAATAAAAGAGAAGAATATAGGTAAATAGACAATTTTATATATCCTTTTATATATAATGGAATGATAAATCCAAAATAAGGGCTGGCCACATAGCTCACTCCCTGGGCCTGCCAGGCCGGCCCTGCTCGTGGGGCACACTGAGACTGCAATTGAGAGTGGGCGTGGTGGCACACACCTGTAATCCCAGCTCTTGGGAGGCTGTAAACAGGTGGGTCACTACTACAAGTCCGATCTAGCAGTGAGACCCCAACACCCTAAAAATAAATTAAAAAAAAAAAAAACCCTACTGGTGAGAAATAAAATAAAATTAATGGTATTACAGAGATCTAGAAGAGTTCGATTTTAGTACTTTATTCTTAAGTCTATAATTTTAACGATGTTCCACGTGTTAATATATACTAACTTTTCTTAAAAATGTTTCATATTAAAGAATCTGGAAGAATATGTTGACAACAATATGTAACAAATTTCAATGGCACATCTGTCCTAGAAGTTCTTTCTATTCCTACCACCCTGATTCTCCTTACTACACTAGCAGCATCACGACCTTACATGTGAATCTATCTCAACTTCATGACTTACTTTCCTGATCTTCCAGGCCATTTCCTTCCCACACAGCTCCTTGGATGAACCGTAGGATGTTCTGCTTGCAGAACCTCTGCGCCAGGTCCACGGCATTCTCTCCGTTGTCATTAAAGGCTTTCAAAGCATGCGTGCTGGGGCTCATTCTGCTGAGCAGGAACTTGAAGCAATGCAGGTGGCCTTCCATGGCTGCCAAGTGAACTGCAGGTAAGAGAGAAAAAGAGCTGAGCGTTAAAATTAATGAACTACCTTGAAACACAGCATATCAGCTCTATTCCTCACGGGGAAGGGACCACCCCCCGTGACAGAGCTTCCCCCACAAGGCACATGGACGTGCTCCCAGCTCCTGTCCCTGCCACCAGCCTCCTGTCACACCACAGCAGGAGCCTACTTCTTAAATGACTACATCTGCCATGACCTTACAGAAACCAGGTAACTATCATGTAAAAACAGGGCTCCAGAAATTATATTAGAAGCACCTATTTTTATTTATTTCTTTATTTTTGATTTGGAGTCAGGATCTTGCTAGGTCACCAAAATTACCTAGGATGGGCTTCAGTTTTTCCTCCTCTTCCCTCAATCTCACAAGAGCACAACAAGCATACACCCTCATGTCCAGCTACCAAAAGTCTCTTAAAGGAATGAAAGGCTGAGGCAAGCACGGTGGCACAGGCTTATTGTAACCCCAGCCTTGAGGGGGCTGAGGCAGGCGGCTCACCAGAGGCCAGTTTAAACTGCATAGTGAGACCATCTCAAAAGTGGGGGTGGAGGGGAGAGTCAGAAAATGGAAAAATATTTGCATGAAAAGTTATTTGCAACACATATAACTGACAAAATTCAAAAAGTATGTGATGCCTACTGCAATTCAGTAAGACAAAAAACCCAAAAGAAAATAATCAAGTGGCCATTAAACATATTATGTTCAGTATTTTTAGCCACTGAAGTATCTGTAAATTGAAGTACAACAAGCTATTTCACTCTATAGTCATCAGAATAACTAAAAGTTTAAAAAATAATAAACAAGAAAGGGGAGCAACTAAAAACCCATTAAACATTGCTAATGGGTATGTGCATTGGTACAACCAGACTGGAAAAGCAAAATAAGGTAGATAGAAAAAATACAGGTATATTATTTTATAGACTGCTAAAGTGAAAAGAAAATAATTTTTATATTGGAAATTAGTGATTAGCTTTAGAGGGCAGAAGTAACTGAAAAAAGGTCATGAGGGAGAAATCAGGGCGTTAGTGAGATTCAATGCTTCACCTGAACAGCAACCACAGAAAAGAAAAAGTGTTCACCAAAGGAAACTAACTGGGCTTTTCACCTGGGCTGGACACTTCACCATGTGCGAATTACACCTCAATTTAAAGCTTGTTTTTATAAACTGAACAAAGTGAAAAATAAAAACAAAAAGGAGGAGGGTGACATAAAATCACTTCCAGAGACACACACTAAAATAAAGAGTTCATATCAAAAACTCTTCACTAAGGGCACATGCAAACACACACTTCAGACAGAAGCTCACCCACCCCACGTGGCAGTGTGAAGGTGGGGCTGGGGGCGGCTGGGGAGCCCAGGTGACGCTGGGAGCCAGGGCTTCCGAGAGCAGCCCGTCACGCTGCTGTCCCCGCGAGCCTCTGAAGACTTCAGAAGCCGTCCCAGGGCCTTCCCTCGCCCACCTCCGAGCTCACAGCGCTTCTGGCGGCTAGCTTCCCACCGGGCAGCTAACTGCGGCTCACACAACTGTGGTAGCACATTCCTCAAATACACTATGGTCTTCTTTTGTTATTATTTTTAAAATCTTGGAAATTCTCTGTGCAGAAGGAGGATATAAAGTGAAAAAATAAGAATCCAAGACAGCAGATGAAAGAACAGTTGCCCACGAGAGCCGCTGCCCGCTGAACTTCGCCATTTTCCCTTTCTTTGGCTGACAGTACCAGGGGAAGAGAAGCAGTCCCGAGAGTACAGAGCATCGGCACGATACAAAAACGTTCACGTCAACACTTTACTATTCAAGTTTCGCAAAACATCTACTAAAATGAGGACAATTTAAATATATTAAATATAATCGAACAGTGAAAACACAGTAAGGAGGAAGTAGCGCTTCTGTGGCACACCTGGAAGATTGCCGCCGCTGTCCACGTCTTCAGTGCCACACCCCCACTTCACGAGCAGCTGCAGGCAGCCCAGCCGCCCGTGGAAAGCCGCGCAGTGCACAGGCTTCCAGTCCCTCTTGTCGGCCACGCTGGGGTCCTAGAGGCGACAGCCACAACGATTCATGTCCTCCCATTTTGCAGGGAAAACACAGTCTAGTGGCTTAATGCTACAAGTGAAAAGTAGAGGCTCTTCTCAAAATTCTAGAACAAGTACTAAATATAACAGAAAAGTTTACTCAAGCCACTGATTTGAACATGAGATAGTAAGTTATTGGCAAGATTTTACAAAATTCTTATTTTGAGACAGCGTCTTGCTATGTACTTCAGACCAGCATTGAATTCACGTTGTAGTCCAGGCTAGCCTCTAACTCATGGCGATCCTCCTGCCTCAGTGTGCGGAGTCGTAGGATAACAGGCGTGTGCCACCATGTCTAGCTAAGATATTCGTTTAAAAAAGAATGTAATTAAAAAAAAAAAAAAA